TAAATTAGTGACCTATATTTTTTAATGTTCGGCAAGAATTTGTAAACCTCTAAATCCGTTTTTTTTAATACTGGTAAAAAACTATTTTAAAAATTCACTTAGAAAAGCCATTCAAAGACAATTTATAGCTTCTGAGTAAAAAAAATACATTTTTAGGGGATTCCCATATTTCAAGAATTTAAGAATCGAAGACCATACTGTTAGTATCCAGATTCCCAAATTCACAAATTCACAGATCCCCAGATTCCAAGAATCCATGTAAGAATTCAAGATTTCAAAAATCCAAGATTTAAGATTTCAGATTTTCAGCTTTTCAGCTTTTCAGGTTTTTAGGTTCTCAAATTCTGAGATTCCCAGATTCTTAAATTCCAAATTCTCAAATTCCCACATTCCAAGAATCCATGAATTCAAGTATCCAAGAATTCGGGATTTCAGATTTCAGAATTTCAAATTTTTTTGGTTCTCAAGTTCTCAGATTTCCAGATTCTAAGATTCTGAGATACCCAGATTTCCAGGTTCCGAGTTTCAAAAATTCTCAGAATCTCAGAGTCCCAGATTTAAAAAATTCAAAAATCAAAGAATTCACAAGTATACAAGAATCCAATATTTGAGCTTTCAGATTCTCAGGTTCTCAAATTCTCTGGTTCTATAGTTTTCAGGCTCTCAGGTTCTTGTATTCTCTGATTCTCAGATTCCCAGATTACAAGAATCCAAGAATCCAAGAATACAAAATTTCAGATATCAGATTGCCAGATTCCACATTCTCAACTTCCCCAGTTTTACGGTTTTGAGGTTCTCAGGTTCTTAGGTTCCCATATTCCCAGCTTCTCAGATTTCCTGATCCCCAGATTCCCAAATTTCGAGATTTCAAGAATCTAATAAACCAAAAATCCATGAAACTGCAAGTATCCAAGAATCTACAAGTATTCAGATTTCATATTCTCAATTTTTTTGGTTCTCAAATGCTCATATTCCAACATTCCTAGATTCCCAGATTTCCAGATTTTTAGAATCCAAGAATCCAACAATTCAGGAATCCAAGTATCCAATATTTCAAATTTCAGTTTCTTAGCTTCTCAGACTCTCAGATTTTTAAATTTTCAGTTTCTAAGATTCACAGATTCCCAAACTTCCAGATTCTCAAATCCCCAGATTTGGAAAATCCAAGAATCAAGAACTCAAGAATCCAATTATTCAAGATTTCAGGCTTCCGATTCTCAGGTGCTTAGGGTATCAGGTTCTCAAGTTCTCAGATTCTAAGTTTCCCGAATTCCAAAATACCGAGAATCCTAGAATTCAGATGCAGATTCCTAGATTTCCAGTTTCCAAAAATCCAGGATTTCAGATTCTCAAATTTGTTTGGTTCTCAGGTGATCAGGTTCTCACCTTTCAGATTCCCAGATTCGGACATTCGGATATACCCAGAATCCTAGACTCCGAGTTTCGAATATTCCGAGAATCCCATATTGAATGATTCCCAGATTTAATAAATCAAAGAATCCAAAATTCCAGATTTCAGATTCTTAAATTCTCTAGTTCTCTGTTTTTCGGCCTCGAAGTTTCTCAGGTTTTTACATTCTCAAAATCTCATATTTACAGATCACCAAGGGTCCAGAAATACAAAATTTCAGATTTCAGATTCTCATATTCCCAGATTCCCAGATTCTCATATTATCTGCTTTTCAGATTCTCAGGATCTCAGATTCCCAGATTCCCAGTTTGCCAGATTCCATGGTACCCAAATTCCCAGATTGCTGGATTTCAAGGATCCGACAATCCAAAAATCCCTGAAACCGCGAGTATTTAGAAATCTAGAAGTATTCAGATCTCAGATTCTCAAATTCTGAGGTTCTCGGGTTTTCAATTTCTTAGACCTTCAGATTCTCAGATTTTCAGATCCTCAGATTTTCGAATTCACAAACTCTTAGGTTCTGAGGTTCTGTGGTAGGTACTCAAATTCTGAGATTCTCAGATTCCCAGATTCACAGTTTCTCAGATTCCCTGATTCCTAAGCTCCCACGTTCCTAGATTTGCAGCTTACCGGATTGCCAGTTTCAAACAACCCAAGAATCCTAGAAACCTAGAATCCAAAGTTTCGAATTTCGGATTCTCAGATTCTCGGGTTCTCAGGTTTTTAGGTTCTCAGGTTTCAGTTTTACAGATTTATAGATTTTTAGATTTTCAAATTTTCAGATTTTCAGATTCTCAGATTCCCAGATTTTCATATTGTCAGGTTTTCAGGTTCCCTGGGTTTCAGATTTCCAGATTCCTAGTTTCTCAGACTCCCTGGTACCCAAATTCCCAAATTTCTGGATTTCACGGATCTGAGAATACAAAAATCACTCACAACGGGAGTATTCAGAAATCTACAAGTATTCAGATCTCAGATTCTCAAATTTTCAGCTTCGCGGGTTCTCAGTTTCTTAGATCTTCAGATTCTCAGATTTTTGGATTCTCATATTTTTAGGTTCTGAGATTCTGTGGTATTCAGATTTCCAAATGCCTCAATTCTTAGATTTGCAGCTTTCCAGATTCCCAGTTTCAAATAATCCAAGAATCAAAGGATTCAAAAAACCTAGAATCCAAAGTTTCGAACTTCAGATTCTCAAATTCTCAGGTTCTCGGGTTCTTAGTTTCTTAGATTTTCAGATACTCAGATTTTCAGATCCTCAAATTTTCAGATTCTCAGATTTTCAGATCCTCAGATGTTCAGATTCTCAAATTCTTAGTTTCTGAGGTTCTGTGGTACTCAGATTTCCAGATTCACAATTTTTCAGATTCCTTGATTCCTAAATTCATAATTTCCTAAGTTTGCAGCTTTCCAGATTCCCAGTTTCAAAAAATTCAAGAATCCAAGAATGCAAGAAACCAAAAGTCAAAGTTTCCAAATTCACATTCTCAGATTTTCAGGTTCTCAGGTTCTCAGGTTTTAGGTTCCTAGATCTTAGGTTCTTAGGTCTTAAGTTCTCAGGTCTGAGGTTCTCCGAATCTTAAGTCTTCAGTTTCCCAAGTTTTCAGGTTCTCAGGTTTTCAGTTTTAGAGGTTTCTAGATTTTTAGGTTTTCAGATTTTCAGATTCTCAGATTCTCAGATTCTCATATTCTCTTTCTTATTCTCTGGATTTCAGGATTGTAGGGTCTCAAATTCCCAGATTCCCTGGTACCCAAATTCCAAAATTTTTAGATTTCAAGTGTGAGAATCCAAAAATCCCTGAAATCGCGAGTACTCAGAAATCTATAAGTATTCAGATCTCGGATTCTCAAATTTTCGGGTTCTCGGGTTCTCAGTTTCTTAGATCTTCAGATGCTCAGATTTTCGGATTCTCATTTCCCAGATTCACAGTTTCTTAGCTCCCCAGATTCCCAGTTTCAAATAATTCAAGAATACAAGGATCCAAGAAACTTAGAATCTAAAGTTTCGAATTTCAGATTCTCAGATTCTCAGGTTCTCAGGTTTTGGGTTCTCAATCTTAGGTTCTCAGGTTCTCAAGTCCTCAGTTTACCAAGTTCTCAGGTTTCCGGGTTCTCGGGTTCTGATGTTTTCAGTTTTACAGGTTTCTATATTTTCAGATTTTCAAATTTTCAGATTTTCAGATTTTCAAATTTTCAGATTTTCAGATTTTCACATTTTCTGATTTTCAGATTTTCAGATTTTCAGATTTTCAGATTTTCAGATTTTCAAATTTTCAGATTTTTAGATTTTCAGATTTTCAGAGTTTCAGTCTTCCAGATTTTCAAATTTTCAGATTTTCAGATTTGAGAATTTTCAAATTTTCAGATTTTTGATTCCTGATTCCTGATTCCTAATTGCTAATTCAAATTTTAAAATTTCGAATTTCTAATTTTCGAATTTCGAATTTCGAGTTTAAGATTTCGAGTTCCAAAATCAAGTTTCATATTTCTTAGTTTTAATTTTCCATTTGTTCCAGTTTTGAATGTTCAATCCAATTATCAGCTCACAGTTCTTAACAACTAATTTTACAGTTTTCAAATTTCCATTTCCAAGTTTTCAGTATATATTTCCCAATTTTAAAGTTTCAAATCTCAATTACCAATTCTCAGTTTCTCACTGCCAGTTCCCACACCTCATTTCCAAACCTTAAATTTGAATTCTCAGTTGAGAAAATTTAATTTTTAATTCCCAAAATTTTCTGTACAATTCCAAGCCTGTAAAACTTATATTCCAAATTCCCTACTCTCGGTTTTTTATTCACAGGTTGCAGTTCTCATTTCGTAATTTTCAGTTATCATTTTGGAATTTCCAATTTTGAGTTTTTAAACTTCAGTTTCCATTTTTTCGTTTTCAATTTCCAAATTTGGGATTTTCACTCCCAAATTTCAGTTCTCGATCTCTGATTTTCAGTTTCCAATTCTTAAGTTAATATTTAATTCGCAGTTATTCCAACACTTATTTTTGTTCGGAGTTTTCTTAAACAAACATCACGGATTATAATTTTGTTTAAAATAGCAAAATAATTAGAGACTTAAATCCATCATAATTGCCAAAAAGGAATCTTAATTAATGCAGGAAAAAATTCACAATGTTTTATAAAGCAAGAAGATAACTAGCGAAATTCATAACTTGCAGGTTCGGTAGATCAAGAATTAAAATCAAAATAAGTATTACTTCATTTTTTTATTTAACAAAAAAAAAAATTTTTCGAACTTTATGATGTCTCATTTCGTGGTCAAATCCGTTTCCTCAAACCCAAATTTGCCCACATTCGCACCAGACTCCCGTCTCCCACGACCGATCGTGTCCCCATCCAGCAACCCCTCGTCGTCTCTTCACTTAATTGCAACACAATGGAAAGTGACATGTGGGCACGAGCCGAAGACACACCCATCCACCTCTCGGCTGCACCGCGACCTTGCTACCATTTTACGTTTGTGCACTTTCGACCACAGTTTTACGATTTTGAATTTTTTTTACAAACTCTGGGTGAACGTTACAACAGGGTTTGGGATCGAAGTATAAAAGATCATTGGGCCGCAACCGGACTAGTGCAGTTGGGTTCTTCGTCGAGTGCAGTGCTATATTACATCACCACCAGCATGTTTATCAAGGTAGGTCCTAGACCAGGCGACCCAGATCGTGCCCATCGCCGGAAAAAACACCCGCTCTGGGTCAGGAATGCGTCACCAGTATCTAGCAATCTGGGTTGGCGAGATCCTGCGGAATTATCAAATTTTGTCTTTTTTTAGGTTATAGCTCTGGCCTGCTTGGTTGCCACCACCCAAGCAGGACTTGTTCCTACCGCTGTCTCCGCCCATGGCTTAGCCCTCGGTCCCGCTCCTGCTCTTCTCGCCGGCCCCTCCATCCTCAAAGCTCCCCTGGCCGCCTACGCCGCTCCAGCCTACGCCGCTCCCGCCTACGCCGCCCCCGCTGTTGTTAAAGCCGCCCCATCCGTCGACTACGTAGTAAGTATTTTTCACACAATATGTGTCCAGGTTTTTCAAAATTGACCATTCCAGGCTTACCCCAAGTACCAGTTCAACTACGGCGTCCAGGACGGCCACACCGGCGACCAGAAGACCCAGAGCGAAATCCGCGACGGCGACGTCGTTAAAGGTTCCTACTCCCTGGTGGAGCCCGACGGTACCATCCGGACCGTGACCTACACCGCCGACGACCATAACGGGTTCAACGCAGTGGTGTCCCGGGCAGGGCACGCCGTCCACCCCGCGACGCCCATCGCCGTGGCTTCCAAGGTGCTGGCGGCTCCGGCTTACGCCGCCCCCGTGGCCGCCCCCTTGCTGGGGCACGCGGTGGCGTCGCCGTACGCCGCACCGCTGGCCTACGGGGGGCTGCTCAAGGGTTAATTGGGGTCCGGGACGATGTGATGCATTGCTGATTGTCAGCGGCAGTTAGAACATTTACCTCTTATGATTTTTTTTATTATTATTTTTTTTTTTGTATTTTTGTATCGTGTTTAAGTTTGTTCTAATTGTGTTACACTGAATGACGGGGTTCTTGTTCAGTGTAAAATGTATCAGTCGAAGGTCAGTCGGTCTCAACTTTGTGCCACTTGTAATTTATTGATGGTTGGGATCGGTTGATGGTATGATGACCGCTTGATGATGGCTCAAGGCGATTTTCTCTTCTGCTTATAATTTTAGGTTATGTACATATATAGCTCGTGCAGTATTGTTCATTTTTTACGTGAAATATACCATTCTGTTCATCAATTTGGGGTTTTTATTTCTCTGCAAAGATAAATCAGTGATTTTTTACTCTGTTAAAAGTGACACCGATTTCGTAACAGATAAACTAACTGAAATAGTGAGATTTCAAATTTACAAATAAGTAACACAATTTTTTTCCTTGAAGTTGTCGGACATTCTTATTTAACGAGCTATTGTTTTTATTTAATGAGGTATTGTTTAATCTGCAGACAGTCAAACTTACCGACGGGTTACCGGAGACTTTAATGATGAATGAGCGATGAACCTGTACCATGGGACAATTATTACACAAAATTAATAGATACTTAATTCACATTTTTAATTTATAAGAAATATTGAAAATAATTTCCGGTTAACTAAGTAATTTCATGCAAATTTTATTCACAGATTAGTTCATTGTTCGCAAAATTTAATTAAAAGCAATATATTTTCAGTAAAAGTGTTCTTTATAATCAGTTGTAGGTGGTTTGTACGAGCAGCGAAACTTTCTAAGTTAGCGCTATCACCGAACATTTTTTGAACATGTTATCGTCCTCTGCTCCACTAAACAGACTGCCATAAATCTAAAAACTGTTTAATTTCGTAACTTTTTGGTCGATGTTACGAAAGATTTTCACTGTATCCAAATGTGATTTTAATTTGGTTATACCCAGTCAAAGTAAATTTTTTTAAGTGTGAGAACTGAATTTTTTTGGAAAAATAAAATTTCTTAAAAAAAACAAACAAAAGTTCAAAAATAAGAAATTTTTATTTAGGAACTAGAAATATGTCTATTAGAAATTAGGACTACTTAATTAAGAATTTGGTAACTGGAAACTAGAAATTCAGAATTTAGGAAATCGAAAATCAAGAATTGAAATTTAAAAAAACTGGCAATTAAAATTCAAAACTATAATTAAAATTTGCGCCGTTTGGCAAATTGAAATTAAAAAATTTATTTCGAGAATTGGAACTCAAAGAAACTAGATTTAAAAAATGAAGGTTTGCTAATTGAAAATTTGAGCTTGAGAAGTGGGAATTTACAACGTGATAATCCGGAAATTGGAAATTTGAAATTCATAATCTAGGCCTTCAGAATTTGGAAGTTTAGTGTCAAAAATTTCAAATTTAAGAAATGGTATCTACGTGAATTTGTGAGTAATCGAAAATAAATATTCGAAAATGGATGAACTGAGAATCTATGAATTTGAGAATTCGTGAATTTTTTAATAAAATTTGGAAATTGTCAATTTAAAACCTGGGTTTTGGAACTGTCGATTAGAACATTGGAAACTGCAGATTTGGTTAGGCAACTGGAATTTGAAAATAAAAATCTGTTAATTGGAATTCTGGAAGTCAAAATTTGGGAATTTGAAATTTGTAAGATTTAATCCTGAAAATTAGAAATTTACGAAGTTAGGCTTGAATACGGTTTTCGAACTTGAAAATTTGCTAACAGAATAGATATTTAAAAATTGGCGAACTAAGATTCTAGGAATTTAAAACTTACGTATTTAAAACCCGGGTTTTAGAAGTGCCAATTAGAACAAAGAAAATTAAAAATTTAAGCAACTTGAATTTGATATATAAAAATCTGTTAATTGGAAGTTTGGAATTAAAACTTTGGGAATTCGAAATCTGGGAATTCGAAAATTGTAAATTTTAATTTAGAAAATTGGAAATTCAAGAAATAATACCTGATTTTGGTTTTGGAGCTCGAGAATTTGATACCAGCATGCTTGAGAGCAAGTAAATATTCGAAAATCGGAGAATTGGGAATCTAAGAATTCAAGAATTCGGTTTTAGACTGCCGATTAGAATACTGGAAATTGAATGTTTAGTTAAGCAAATGGAATTTGGAAATAAAAATCTGTTAATCGGTATTTGGAGTTCAAAATCTGGGAATTTAAAATTTGTAAATTGTAATCTCGAAAATTGGAAATTTAAGAAATTACTTGAATTGAATTGAATTAGAACACTTGAAGCTAAAAATTAAGGCAACTGGAATTTGAAACATCAGAATCTATTAATAGAAAGTTAGGAATTCAGAATCTGGGAATTTGAAAGTTGCCATATTTAATTTAGTAAATTAGAAATTTAATAAACCGTAGATACTTGAATTCGAAGTATGTATTCAAAAATCGGCAAATTGTGAATCTAGAAATTTTAGATTTCGAAAATTTTGAAATATCATTGGAAAATTGCGAATTTAAAACTTAGGTTTCAGAACTACCGATTACAACCCTGGAAACTAAAAATTTAGATAAATGGAATGCAATTTGTTTGAAATTCGGAATTCGAAAATTAGAAAATTTAATTTTGAGAATTGGAAATTTAGGAAATGGTATTTGAATTCGATTTTGGAACTTGAGAATTTGATAACCGAATGCTTGAGAGAAAACAGGTATTTAAAAATCGGCAACCTGAGAATCTGGGAATTTTGAAATAAAGTTCGAATATTTCGATTTTGAAACTCACGTTTTGGACTAACAAATAGAATACTAGAAGCTGAAAATTTAGGCAAGTGGAATTTGATACGTGATAATCCGAAAATTGGAAATTTGAAACATAAAAATCTGTTAATTGAAAGTTTAGATTTCAAAATCTAAAATTTTGATTTCTAAAATTAGAAATTTAAGAGATGATACTGGAATTCTAGGAATTTAGAAATTCTTCTGTTTTGAAACAGAACTTGAAGGTTTCACATTTAAAACCTGGTTATTAGGATTGCAGATTAGAACACCTGAAGCTGAAAATTTGGGCAACTGGAATTTGAAACGTGAGAATTTATTAATTGAAAGTTTGAAATTCAGAATCTGGGAATTCGAAAGTTGCTAAATTTAATTTCGTAAAGTCAAAATTTAAGAAATAGAACTTGAATTCGAATTTCGAATATGAAAATCGGCAAACTGAGAATCTAGAAATTTTAGAATTTGAAAATTTTGAAATATAATTTGAACATTTTGAAATATAATTTGAAAATTGCGAATTTAAAACCTAGGTGTTAGAACTGCCCACTAAAACCCTAGAAACCGAAAATTTAGGCAAATGGAATCTGATACGTGGGAATTTAATAGTCGAAAGTTTGAAATTCGGAATTCGAAAATTGTAAAATTTAATTTTGAAAATTAGAAATTTAGGAAATGGTACTTCAATTCGGTTTTAATAATCGAATGCTTGAGAGAAAATAGGTATTTGAAAATCGGCTACTTGAGAATCTAGGAATTTAAGAATTTGGGAATTTTGAAATAAAGTTCGAAAATTTCGATTTTGAAACCCACGTTTTAGGACTGACAAACAGAATACTGTAAGCTGAAAATTTAGATAAGTGGAATTTGAAACGTGATAATCTGAAAATTGGAAATTTGAAATTCATAATCTAGGCATTCAGAATTTGGAAGTTTATTTTGAAAAAATTTAATTCTATTCCAAAATCGAGAATCTAACTGAGAATCTACGAAATTAAGAATTCCTGAATTTTGAAATGAAATTTGAAAATTTAAAACCTAGGTTTTGAAACTGCCGATTAGAACACTGGAAACTGAATATGTAGCTAAGCAACCGGAATTTGAAAATAAAAATCTGTTAACTGGAATTTTGGAATTCAAAATCTGGAAATTCGGAAAGTGTAAAATTTAATCTCGATAATTGGAAATTTAAGAAATTATACTTGAAGTCGGTTGTCGGACTTGAGAATTTGATAAGAGAATTACTAATTGAGCTAATTGAGATTCTTGGAATTTAGGAATTCGAGAACTTGGAAGTAAATTTAAGCAACTAAAACTTGAAATACATGAAAATCTGTTAATTGGAAGTTTGGAATTCAAAATCTATGAATTCGAAATCTCAGAATTCGAAAATTGTGAAATTTAAGAAATGATACTTGAATTCAAGAAATTTAGAAATTCTTAAATTTTGAGGCAGAACTTGAAAATTTAAAATTTAAAACCTGGTTATTAGAATTGCAGATTAGAACACCTGAAGCTGAAACTTTAGGCAACTGGAATTTGAAAATTGAGAATTTATTAATTGAAAGTTTGAAATTCAGAATCTGGGAATTCGAAAGTTGTCAAACTTAATTTAGTAAATTCGGAATTTAGGAAACCCTACCTACTTGAATTCAAATTTCGAATATGAGAAATTGAAAATGCTTGAAAGAAAATATGTATTCGAAAATGGATAAAAAACTGCGAATTTAGGAATTTTAGAATTGGAGAACTTTTTGAAATAAAATTTGAAATTGCGAATTTAAAATCTGAGTTTTAATTAAAGATTCGGACAACTGTAGTGACAAATGTGAGAATCTAACAACTGAAAGTTTGGAATTCAGAACCTGGGAATTTGAAAATGGGGAAATTTATTTTTGAAAACAGGAAATTTAATAAATGGTACTTGAATTTGGTCTTAGAACTTGAGAACTTGTTACCAGAACAAGTAAGGATTCGAAAATCGGACAACTGAGAATCCAAGAAATTAAGAATTTTAAAATTTCGAATTTAAATCCTAGGTTTTAGAACTACCGATTAGAACTCTGGAAATCAAAAATTTAAGCAATTGGAATCTGATACGTAAGAATTTGATAGTCGAAAATTTGGAATTCAAAATTCGAAAATTATAAAATTTAATTTTGAAAACTGGAAATTTACAAAATGGTATTTAAATTCTATTTTGGAATTTATGAATTGGATAACTAAATATTTGTAAGAAAATCGGCAAATTGAGAATCCAGAAATTTACGAAATCGAAAATTTTGCAATAGAATTTGAAAATTGTGAATTTGAAGCCTAGGTTTCAGTATTGTCGATTAGAACACTTGAAACTGAAAATTTAGACAATTGTACAATTTAATTCGGAGAATTGGAAATTTAGGAATTGCTACTTTACAATTTGATAACCGAAAGCTTGAGAGAAAACAGTTATTCGAAAATTAGCGACCAGAGAAACTAGGAATCTAAAAATTCGAGAATTTTGGAATAAAGTTTGAAATTTTCGAATTTAAACCTGCGTCTAAGATTGCCAAATAACTAGAATATTGAAAACTGAAAATTTAAGCAACTGGAGTTCGAAACGTGAGAAACTATTAACTGAAAGTTTGGAATTCAGAATCTGAAATTTTGAAAGTTGCCAAATTTAATTTTGTAAATTCGTATTTCAAGAAACAGTACCTGCGAATCTAGAAAATTAAAAATTCGAGAACTGTGGAATAAAAGTTGAAAATTGCGAACAAAAATTTAGAAAACTGCAGTATGAAACGTCAGAATCTGACAACTAGAAATTTGGAATTCGGAAATTCAATAAATGGTACTTGAATTTATTTTTGGATCTTGAGAATTTAATACCAAAATGTTTGAAGGCAAGTACCTAGTTGTTCGAAAATCGGAGAATTGGGAGTTTAGGAATTTAAGAATAACCTATAAAACCCTGCAAATTGAAAATTTAAGCAAATGATACGTGAGAATGTGATAGTCGAAAGCTTGGAATTCAGAATTCGAAATATGTAAAATTTAATTTTGAGAATTGGAAATTTAGAAAAAAATCGTACTCTTATTCAGTTTTCAAACTTGGGAATTTGATAGCCGAACGCTTGGGAGAAAAAAATTCGAAATTTGGCGAATTGAGATTCTAGAAATTGAAGAAATCTAGAATTCTGAAATAAAATTTGAAAATTAGGAATTTAATTCCTGGGTGAGAACCTGGAAATTGGACGTTTGGAATTTAGAATCTGGGAAAAATTAAGAAATGGTAAGTACTTGAATTCGGTTTTGGAACTTGAGAATTTTTATAATCGAATGCTTTATAGAGGATAGGTAGGTATTTGAAAATCGACGAACTGAGAATCTAGGTAGGAATTTAATAAATTCTGAAAATTCTAAATTTGAAACTTGGGTTTTAGAACTGTCGCTTATAACGCTGGAAACTAAAATTTTTACCGACTAGAATTTGAAATGTGAGAATCTCATAATTTAATGTTGTAAAATTCAATTTCGAAAGTTGGAAGTTCATGAAATTATTATTTTTAAATTCGGTTTTGAAACCTGACAATTTGATAATTGAGTGAGAATCTGGTAACTGGAAGTTTGGAATTCAGAATCTGGGAATTCGAAAATTGCAAAATTTAAGTTCGAAAGAATAAATTTAGGAAATGGTAGGTACTTGAATTCGGTTTTAAAACTTGAGAATTTCATAACCGAACTCATGAGAGAAAATAGGTATATTTAAAAATCTGCCAACTGAGAATTCAAAAATTTTGAAATAAAATTTTAAAATTGAAAGTTTAAAATCCAGGTTTTAGAGCAACACTGCAAGTGAAAATTCAGGTAACTCTAATTTGAAACGCGACAATCTAATAATTGGAATTCAAAACCTGGGAATTCGAAAATTGTAGAATATAATTTTTACAATTGGAAATTCAAGAAGGGGTATCTACCCGAAATCGGTTTTTGAATTTGGGAATTTGAGAACTGTATGATTGGGAATTCTATTTTGGAAACAGGTAATTTTAAGACTGTCAGTCCTGTTTTAAAAATTCGCAATTTAGAATTTCACCACTAAAATTTGGGGACAAAGAACTAAAAGCTGAAACTTCGCTACAGTTATTTTTATTAAAAAATATTTCACACTCTTTAAATTTTTCTGTAAAACGCTATCACCTCTGAAACATAATTTTGCATTTTTTCCCTATCAGCATACTCAATCTCTACCAAATTTCACTAGACCTCGCATCTTTTTTTATGCAAATAACCCAATCAAACCAAATATACCCAATTAATCCCTCTCCAAACCCGCATCTTTGAACCATCTGCTGTCATCCTCCGACAACAATATTCACTCAAACCCGAAGATTCACCAAATTTTACGCCGACATGCAAACAACTTCCCGATTTCTTTTCAGTCGCCTTTCACCACAAACATCCATCACCTGCCAACCACGCGACCCGTGTCATCCAATTAATAAAAGACCATCTGTGAGAGCACCACTTTTAATTACAAAAATAAATATGGCATGTACAAAGAAAGTGCACAAGAAAAATCAAGTGAATGAGGTATGTACAAGAACAGTCGACAAGAGATCAGTAGTGAAGGCCATGGCCAAGAGCGACCGGAGCTGGATGCGCGGCGTGCCCGGACTTGCTGACCACGGCGTTGAACCCATTATGGTCGTCGGCGGTGTAGTGCACGGTCCTCACGCTACCATCGGGCTCCACCAGCGAGTAGGAACCCTTGACGACGTCGCCGTCGCGCACCTCGTGCTGGGTCTTGTGGTCGCCGGTGTGGCCGTCCTGGACGCCGTAGTTGAACTCGTACTTGGGATAAGCCTGGAAGGTTCAAACTATTAGTCTAATAACGTTTGGTAAAAAAATCCGGGCGGAAAACCGCATTTTTGGTGGAGACTTCAACGGTCCGAGGAGGTCAAGCGACGAACCCACGAATATTGTTTATTTAATAAAAAATCAACTAACACTAATAGAGGATGAAAATTGTCTGAAATGACACTACTTTGTTGTAAATAAGTGTCCAGTAAAAATTTTGTTGGTTGAAAATCGTTTATAACGTGATTTTCGTTGGAGACTTCAACGGTGTCAGTAGAATAAGCGACGAACCCAGCCCGATTTTAATTTCCACTTACGTAGTAGTCTTCGGCGTGGCCGTGGCCGTACGCCTCCACGCCGCCCCCGTAGACGCCGCCTCCGTAGACGCCGCCCCCGATAACTCCCGCTTGGCACGCGGCCGCCAAAGCAGCTACAACAACACACACTGAGAACATTTTGACTGCCGCTCGAACAATAGCCCGGACTTTATATAGCGTCCTACCCCTCCGTTGCCCACCTCCGATTGTTCACCCACCTGTAAACTCCGGGGTAAGCGTGATATAACGCATGTTTCACCGGAAACAATTTGAACAATTTTAACGTCCTTGACGGACGTTAAGAAATCCCCTGACCCAGTTGGCCCGAGCAGCTCTTGCGGTTACGTTGCGTAAGTTTAGGGCAACTGCAACCACACGGCAAGATTAATTGTCCTTTTTCCGGGTCGAGCGATGTGTGTTGCGTTATGTAAATTTTCTATGTAACAATAATAAAATTCAGTCGAGCATTGCGTCTGCACGTACTTCCGGATGGACAGGGCGATGTGGAGCGTTATGGTCAATTGGTTCCAGCTTTCCTGGAATGGGAGGGTTTGGGTTTTTTTCCCGGCGAGTGTGGGAGAGGAGGAAATGATGGTTGTGTACTGTTGATTGATTAATGGGGAAGTAGTTAATTTTTCAGTGTAGTAGACGCTTGATTTGAATTCGAATGTGGACGTGACGAACTCCCGGTGTTACGTTTTTTGGATAAATCGGGGATAATGGGAGTCTGGGAGTTGCGTCAACGGACCGCAAAGATCGAAGCTAAGTGGGCTATTATGCTAATTTGGGGTTTTGGTTGTTGGGATTGCACAAAATAAACGATTGTGAACGAAGTTGCGGTTTTAACGATAAGTTATTACTAGAAAAAATTACTATTCTGCTATTACTACGATCTATGTGTTTGATTGCGTTTTTGTGGTTAAAGTTGTGTCGAAATTCGCGATTTAAATGAAAATGGATGCAAATTTGCGCTAATTAGGAAGTGCAGATGAAGATCTAGATCTCGAGGCCGATTTTAGAGGATGTCGCAATGTGGTTTAAAACACGCCAAGTTTATCTGATTTCGTACACGTGTCTTATTAGTCAGTTTACAGTTGTATCAGTCGTGGGGAATCTACTTCCTGCAATTTGTAAACGGTTTTGTGTACCTACCTGTGTAAAAGTGAAAATATTCCACTTGCATTTACGAGCAGGTTAAATAATGTTGCTGAAAATTATACAGCAGTTTGTAAATGTAATCCTTTGCAAGCAGGAGTTGCTGAAATTCGAACTAAAACCAGGTTTTTCGTGATTTATGCAAGCGTTGTTAATGGGTAATTAATGGGATGTCGGTTTTAATTCGCTGTCAATTAAATTGAAAATTTTTTTAAAATTAAAACTGTCGCTGTTTGTTATAAAATGTGTTCATCGCGAAACTACAGAAACAGATGGTTATTAAATCCATGCTAAATTAAACCTGGTTGCATAAATTTAGCATTAATTAAAAATATATAGGTATGTGTGAATGAAAAAATCCGGATCCGGAAAATTGAATACGAATTAAATCTTTAGTCGTAAGTAAAATTCTAAATTCAAAACTTAGGTATTAGAATTACCGATTAAAACACTTGAATTTAAAAATTTAGATAACTGGAATTTGAAAGTTTGAAATTCAGAACTGGGAATTCGAAATTTACGAAATTGTACTTGAAGTCGATTTTTAAATTCAAGAAATTGATACCAGAATGTTTGAGAGCAAACATTATACGTAAATCGGCCGAATTGCGAATTTAGGAATTTTAGGATTCCAGAATTTTGAAATAAAATTTGAAAACTGTGAATTTAAAACCAGGATTTGATAATCGAATGCTTGATAGAAAATAGTATGCGAGGCTTGGCGAAGTGCGAATCTAGAATTTAAGAATTTGGAAATTTTGAAATGAATTTTGAAAATTTTGAATTTAAAATCTGGTTTTAGAACTGCCAATTAGAACACTGGAAATTGAATATTTAATTAAGTAACCGGAATTTGAAAATGAAAATTTGTTAATTGGAAGTTTGGAATTCATAATCCGGAAATTGTTAAGCTTTGATAACAGAATGCTTGAGAGAAAATGGATATTTGAATATCGCCCAACTGAGATTCTAGAAATATAAAATTGGAGAATTTTGAAAAAGAATTTAAAAATCATAGGTCAGGTTGATTCAAAGAAAAAACGATTTTTTAAACGTGATAAATTTTATGGATCATTTTAAGATTCCGGGTTCTGAGCTTTTGCCAAAGTCCAAATTAGGAATTTTATGAACACGTAAATTTGGATCGCTTTCCACAAAAAAATATTTTGACAATTTTAATCGGAAAATTTATTTTCACTTTCTTATTATTCAAAAATATGAAACATCATAGAAACATTTTTCAAAAATTTTGAATTTTAGAAAGAAATGTTGGAAGCACCAAGAATATCACGAACTAAAAAATAATAAATTATAGATACATTAGAATTTTTCAAAAAATAAGGTTAATTATAATTATTTTTGTACAAGCCTTAAGTATTTTTTATACGAAAATATTGCAATATATTTGCAATGCAAGAAATTAACAATTCTTTTCAAGCTAAAAACAAACCCCGCCCACCCACCCTCATCTCAATTGTGATGAATTTTCTTATTCGTTGTGAGCCGAGAAGCGGAGCTTAATTTTGGATTTCCTTTTTACTTAAGACGTTTTTTTGAACAACGTCTTTACTTAAAAACATGTTTGAAATGGTAATTTCTAGTAAAAAAATAAGGACTTTGTAATTAAACTGCGCCCCCAAGCTCACAACGAGTAAAGAAAAATTGTCACAACTGAGACAGGGCGGGTGGGCGGGGCTTATGATTTGACTTTAAGACGACTGACCCCGCCCACTCACCTTGTCTCAGTTGTGATGAATGTTTTTATTCGTCGTGAGCCGAAGGGCGGAGCTTAATTATGGCTTTCTTTTTTACTTAACAACATGTTAGAAATGGTAATTTCTCGTAGAAAAATAAGGATTTGCTTACAACAAATAAAGAAAAATTGTTACAACTGAGACAGGGCGGGTGGGCGGGGCTTGTGATTTGACTGTTTTTTCTTCTTAATATAGTACATACTTTAACAACAAACGACTGACCCCGGCAGCCCACCCTGTCGCAGTTGTGATGAATGTTTTTATTCGTCGTGAGCCGAAGGGCGGAGCTTAATTATGGCTCTCTTTTTTAATTAAAAGTTTTCTTTGAACAACACGTTTACTTAAAAACATGTTTGAAATGGTAATTTCTCGTTGAAAAATAAGGATTTTGCAATTAAGCTCCGCCTCTTTGCTTACAACAAATAAAGAAAAATTGTTACAACTGAGACAGGGCGGGTGGGCGGGGCTTATGATTTGACTGTTTTTTCTTCTTAATATAGTAGGTACATACTTTAACAACAAACGACTGACCCCGCCCACCCACCCTGTCTCAGTTGTGATGAATGTTTTATTCGTCGTGAGCCGAAGGGCGGAGCTTAATTATTGTTCTCTTTTTTAGTTAAAAATTTTCTTTGAACAACACGTTTACTCAAAAACATGTTTGAAATGGTAATTTCTCGTTGAAAAATAAGGATTTTGCAATTAAGCTCCGCCTCCAAGCTCGCAACGAATAAAGAAGAATTGTCACAACTGAGACAGGGCGGGTGGGCGGGGCTTATGATTTGACTTTTTTTTCTTCTTAATATAGTACATATTGCTCAGAACAAACGACTGAACCTGTCCACCTACCCTATTTCAGTTGTGATGAATGTTCTTATTCGTCGTGAGCCAAAGGGCGGAGCTTAATTATGGTTCTCTTTTTGACTTGAAAATTTTCTTTGAACAACACGTTTACTTAAAAACATGTTTGAAATGGTAATTTCTCGTAGACAAATAATGATTTTGCAATTAAGCTACGCCTCCATGCTTACAACTAATAAAGAAAAATCGTTACAATTGAGACAGGGTGGGTGGGCGGGGATTATGATTTGACATTTTTTCTTCTTAATGTAGTACATACATTTCACAACAAACGACTGCCCCCGCCCACCCACCCTGTTTCAGTTGTGATGAATTTTCTTATTCCTCGTAAGCCGAAGGGCGGAGCTTAATTATGGCTCTCTTTTTTAATTAAAAATTTTCTTTGAACAACACGTTTACTTAAAAACATGTTTGAAGTGGTAGTTTCTCGTAGAAAAATAAAAATTTTGCAATTAAGCTCCGCCTGCCTCTTTGCTCACAACGAATAAAGAAAAATCGTCACAACTGAGACAGGGCGGGTGGGCGGGGCTTATAATTTGCCTTTTTTTTCTTAATATACATAACATACTTTTCACAAAAATTGAAGACTGAAAACATGTTTAAAATGGTAAATTTTATCTTTCACATTTCTCTACAAATTTACCCTTTTAAACAAGTTTTCACCCCTGTCTCAATTGTGACGAATTTTCTTATTCGTCGTGAACCGAGGGGCGGAGCTTAATTTTGGCTTTCTTTTTTACTTAAGACTTTTCTTTGAACAACACGTTTACTTAAGAACATGTTTCAAACGGCAATTTCTCGGAGAAAAATTATTTAAATTAATTAAAATAAGTATTTAAAAAAAATGACTTTCTGTAAGAAAATATACCAACAACCCTTAGAAAAAATCTTTCAAAAATAAACCAAAAATACTACAAGAAGTAGTCCAGTCTTTCAGGTTATTTAAGAAGAAAAAAGACAAAATTTCCCCTATTCTTCTAGATCTTTAAAAATAAATCACAAAAAGTCCCTGCGATTCGAATTCTTTCAAAAACAAAATTCGAGGGGTCCTTGAAACTTTTTGGATCGTTTTAAGAAAGAAAAATGCTAATTCTTTAAAATAAATTATCAGAATAACACAAAAATCTTTAAAATTATTTCAGAAAAAATTAATGCTCTCGAAGACTCTTTCGAACTCTTTCAACGATAAAACACCACGTATCCACAAGATATTTTGCTAAAGCAAAGTTCTACGGGCTTCCGAGATTCTTTAAAAAAAAAGACACTAAGGAACCTCTAGATTCTTTGAGATTCTTTAAAAAAACATATCAGAAATACTCTAGATTCTTTCGAATCATTTAAGAAGAAAAAACATCAAGGTTGCCTAAA